GAGAGAGAGAGAGAGAGAGAGAGAGAGAGAGAGAGAGAGAGAGAGAGAGAGAGAGAGGGAGGGAGGGACACTAAGCACTCCAGACGAACAAGATTCCAGTTCTTAGGAGTAAGGAGGTGTATGTCTTACCGCCACTCGGCTGACAGATCCACAAATTCGTCAAATGATGCAAATGTTCGTGCTACACCCCATGGTCGTGTTAATGTGAAAGAGACATCATTTGTCCCTAGGTAACTCTCCAGTGCATGTACCCCATATACGTGCCAACACACAGTGCCACTTGGATACTCGGTGTCGGTTGTGAATTGCAGTTGAGTCCATGTTGGGTCCGGAGGATGCTGAGCGTCGCCTTGCCTAAAACCACAGACCACAGAAGATCATATCCACAACAGATAGCTTCCCGTCATTCCACTTCGCTGAACAGGACTTCGGCACATGTCATCCAGATGTTGGTCCGTGCGAGGCACAGGTCACAACCACCGAACACGAAGATCGAAAAGCTGATATGCTTCAATGCAAATGATGTCACATATCCAAAATGCTCAAGACAACCAATGTACGCTTCAATAGAAAGACACGACACGACCTGCAGAGCTGAAAACATTTCTCGCTGGGAGACCAAAGCAGAGAACGCTTGACTCAAACCATTTAGGTTCAAGAAAAGGCGTCTGCTGGGCGAAATTCCACTGGTGAATCAGCCTTTTCCATAGCCCCGGGGCTCCTGCGCAAAATGATTGCATCGAAAATTTGACGATCAACGACATGGAGAGTAGGTAGAACTCCTTTTTTTTTTTTTTTTTTTTTTTTAATGGGACACATGCGCCAATCTATTTGTGGGGAGAAACAGGTGCTAGGAACTGGGCCCAACGTCCCAGTACGACAGTACGAATTGTACAAGCATTGGAATACCGGGGCCATTACCCGGCTTCTGCTGGCTGACAAGCGCGAAGAACAATTCCGGAAAACTTTAGAAAAACATGAGTAAACTACTGACGTGTTGAACCAACTGCTCATGAAAACACCTCAGAGGGGCTAATGAGAAAAAAAACACAGCACCTCAAGAAAGGCTCAAAGTAGCACATTCTTAATTTCATAATTGCTTGAAAAAGGATGGTCAAATAGGAGCAGAATGATGGAGATGATCTTCAGAATTAAAGCACCAGTACACCACTTATCGGCCTGCGGGTGTCAGCACAAAACCGGCACCACTTCAGAATTTCAGAGGCCGCCAATTCTTTTGAACGGATGGAGAGGGATTCGAACCCCCGATATTTTGTAATATGTCAGTTTTCAAGACTGATACCTTCAACCACTCAGACATCCATCCAAAGCAAAGACGCCCCTTGTACCTTTCTTTCCACTCCATCAAACACATGGCCAGTGAAGATAAGATCCGGGCCGTTTTTTTTCCCATCTACTACTTGTATAATTTGTTTGGTTGTTCTCTGTGGTACCGCGGCACCTGTGCTTTTTCATCTATTAGCTCAAAGAGAAGTTTCCACTGGTGCTCCTTTCTTTAATGGTACTATAATACCTATTTTTATTTGTTTACTACTTGTTTTAGCTTTTTCTTTCAACGGCGGGCCTGGATGCATGGCGCCTCTTGAGTTTTGCTTGTGGCGACAAAAACTTTCTGCAAGGCTGGGGCCATGTACTAGCGGTTTAAGTGAATCAAATCATAGCTTTTTCGATTATCGTTAGTGGCAAGTACATATAGAAATCACCACCAACCAAGCCCGAGTACGCGCAGTCTTGGTGGCATTTAGTTAGCTGCGTGTATTTATTTGATGACAATGCTGAAGTTTTGTCTTTGCTCGAAACTTACGGGCACAGACTTACGTGCCATTTGATGAGTGACCAAAAATAAAGAAGAACTATCTAAGGAGGAAAACGTGAATAAAACAGGAGTAGAGAGTAATATAATAATATTGCTTTTTTTTTTTTTTTTGCTATTAACTCTCACGGCTCTTCAACTTGTTTGAGTTGGAGAAGTACGTCGCGCCGCCTAACCGCTCAAGGAGATCATCAATCCGAGGGAGAGGGCCGACGTTCTTTACGGTTTGTGCGTTAAGTTTCCGATAGTCGATGCATAACCGTAAATCTTTGTTCTTCTTCCGGACGAAGAGAACAGGTGCACCGTATGGCGAGCAACTAGGGCGAATCCAGCCCTTGTCGAGAAGATCATTGAGCTGTGCGCGAAGCACCTTGAGTTCCTCTTCGCTCATGCGGTAGATACATCCACGCGGAGGGACGGGGCCAGCCTCGAGAGTGATCCCGTGACGTATGGGCCGATCCGGAACCGTTCCGGTGGGAGCCTCRAAGACGTCTCTATACTCGTCCAAGAGGTGAGAAATGCGTGGGTCCGGCGGTGACGCGGCTGGTCCGTCCGGCGAGGGGAGAGCATGCAAGAATACAAGGCCCATCTCCTCGACGTCATTCCGAGCAATGGCGTCACAAATTTTCGCAACGGAAACCACGTGACAAGCAATCGAAGTGTGAGGGGTCGCGACCGTACATGGGACTAACACTCCGTTCCGATCACGGATGTGAACGGTTCGGTCATGGAAGTTCACTGGATGATCGGCGCTACGCAGCCAAGACATGCCTAGAATCATGTCGAACTTGGTGTCGAGAATGTCAAAAGACACCGGCTCGCACGCAAGTGGCGCAAAGTAGACCGGAACGCCGTCAACGCATCGGTCAATTGACTTTTGCGTGCGGCCGTCCG